GGTTGAAATGAAATTTAGATAAATCAATAACAATTTTTTTATTTATTGCTATTACCATTCACAGTGACTATACTGAATTTCCCAGTTCATCATCACTCTTTTATTCACTCACTTAACATTTTTTAATGCCTACTTTGTACCAGGTACCACACGTGATCCTGGACTGCTTTCAGGGAACCCACAGTCCAGGTCCTCACTGCATTTGGAAACTGCTAAACTCCTTTTACTAGTTAAATAAAAACATTTATCAATCAGAAATATAAATTACTCTTTATATCAAGAGCCCAGCACTTGTAATTTTAGCATATGGACTTTGGGGTTGGTTCATTCCCCCAACTCAGCAGTTCTCAACCTTCCTAATGTCGCGACCCCTTAATATAGTTCCTCATGTTGTGGTGACCCCAAACCATAAAATTATTTTCGTTGCTACTCTACAACTGTAATTTTGCTACTGTTATGAATTGTAATGTAAATATCTTTTTGTTTTCCGATGGTCTTAGGCAACCCCTGTGAAAGGGTCATTCGACCTCCAAAGGGGTCGCGACCCACAGGTTGAGAACCGCTGCCCCAACTGAACAAAAACCAAACTCCTGGCTCTAAACACCAGCCCAGGCGGTGCTTTGTCCCATTGCCCAGACTCTGCCTCTGCCAGCAAGTCCCTGCACTCTCCTCAGACTCTCGGGCGCCTCTCCACAGCATCAAGTTGTTATGCTAAAACCCCTTTCCGATCTTCTTGTATCACTGGTGTTCTCAGTTCCGTTCAGGAGCATCCCACTCTCCCAGGCTCACACACGTGCTCCCTCCTCTACCTGCAGAAACCCAATTCTACCTGAGCAAATTCACTTACATACTCTTCCTTTTAGCTGCAGTCCAGCCATCTGCTCAGCCTGAAGCCTGGCTGTTTCACTCTGGAAACTTCTAACTCTGAGCAGACTACTGTGATTCTTTAGTAAGAATATAGATGCTATCAGATATAAGCTTTCCTCATCTACTCATAGAACTTTGTATCTTTATCAATTCTCTTTTCTTCAATCCTCAAGAGTCATGGCTCCTGTCATTCATTTGTTTAGTAAAAACTCGGTGAACACCTACCATGTGCCGCGTTTTCTAGACACTAGCAGTACAGAAATGAACAAGACAGACAAGGTCCTGCTAATGGAGCTTACATTGCAATGGGGGTACACAGAAAATAAACAGGCGAAAAAATGAGATGATTTCCGATAGTGAGATGAGCTATGAAGACAATGGATAAAGGTAAGATGGTGGAGGTAAGCGAGGCTTCAGATAGAGGGGTCAGGGAGGACTCTGAGGCATGCAGAGTGGTGAGGAGGAGGATGGCGTGAGAAAAGTGGGGAAGGAAGAACATTCCAGGCAGCGGGGTGGCAGGTGCAAAAACCTGGTGGCAGGGGAGAGCGGAGCACGTTCCAGAAACAGAACAGTGTCTTATGAGGCTGGATCCTGGTACCAAGGGGAGAGGGTGGGCCCGTGCTGGTCGTTACATTCACGCCCTCATCTCTCAGATCACAAGCAATCAGTTATCTATCTATAGTTCTTTCCATCATTAAGCTGTTCCTCTCCACCAGTCCTTTCTCATGTATTTCAAGACATTTTCAGCCTAAAAATATATTCTCCTTAACTCCCACTGCTCTTTGGAACTGCACTTTCCTTTTAGGATCAGATTTCCCCAAACAATAGAGCATTCACTAATCCCCACTTCCTCACTCCTCTCTCACTTATCTTTCGCCGCCATGTTTCTGTCCACACTGTCATTTCCAGTGCTCTGTCCAACATCATCATTGACTTGTCAGTTTGCAATCCCGTGGCCTTCTCCACCCTCTCTCCTCCACCCTCATTCCTCCTGATTTTCTGTCACATTCTTGACAATCCTTTCTAAATATTCTCTTCCTTTATTTCCATGAAAATACATTCCTTTTACCTTGATGACCCTTCTTGGATTGTTTCCTCCCTGGCCTCAACCTCAACCTCCTAACCTCTCCGCATTTCCCTCTGGAACGGGCCCTCTCTGTAGGTGATTCCTACAGTGGTTTCTTCTAGTCCTGCCTTCCCCTATGATTATCTACAAATGTTTCTTCAGGAGCAAGTGGACGTCACAGCTGGGTGTAGTGATGGCCCTTCAAACTCAACATGTTTATAACTGACCCAAATTCATCTTTGTCCTCCCTAAACTAGAAACATCTCCTACATTCCCAATCTATCAAGGGTTGAATTATACTTAACACATCTCATCAATGCCACCTTTGAGATGATTCTCGAGCATGTCTCCTCTGGCCCTCTGTCACTGCCACTCTCACCACCTCCAATGTGCCCTGAGGGAGCTCTTGCCTGGATTAATCCAGTCCGCGCCGACTACTTTTACTGCTGTGGCATCTTGTCAACATTGACAAACATTTTCCTAATAATCATGTGACTCTTGACACCCCATTGCTTCCAAGTCTTCAGTAGCTTCTCGCTGTTCACCCAATGAAGCCAAAACACTCATCACAGCTTTGGAGACTTTCAGTGATCCCTCGCTGCCTTTCTGCCTCATCACTAAGCACCCTCCTCGATTCACACGCCTTTGTTTGCTCTTGTTGCTGTTATTCCTGTGGCTTAGAACGCCATCTTGCATATCTGCTAGTCAACATCATATTACCTATGTCTGGTTCAAGTGACATCTCTATAGTTAATCTTCCCTGATTGCCTTAACAGAAAATTAAGTCCCCCAGTTCATACTCTACCTTCCATTGTGTGTGTGTGTGTGTGTGTGTGTGTGTGTGTGTGTGTCTTTCAGTAGCTATTTTTTAGAATCTCCTTGAGGGCAGTACCTTTTTTCCCCCTTTTTTCTGTGTATCCCTACAGTGCCTGGGATAATGCCTTTGTGGGATATAGAAAATCTTCTAGAAATGTTTGCCAAATGAATTACCCATGATTTCTAATACTAGTGTTTTACTATTTATAAACTGTCAATGAGTAACACATAGAAACATATACTTGAAAAATTAATTAAAAAGAAATATTTTCTGCACAACAGTGGTTTGAGTCCCGCCTGAGCTGAGCTACTGCCCAGCTGCCGCCAACAGGTGGCAGGGTGGCTCAGCTAAACAAACAAACAAACAAACAAAAAACCATTTAGAATGTGAATATATAATGCAAGAAAATCAAGGCCTAAAGTGTATGTTTTATAAGTTTAGCTTTGATATGCCCAATTTTCTTAAATCGAGCTGCACTGGTCTGCCATTTGAGAACATTTACATAGAAATACTTTGAACTGGTGACGGTGATGATGGAAGCCACGGTGAAGTGTAAGAGTTACCAGAAAAGGTAAATGCAACACCACTTTCACTCTCCATCTGTCTCTTTTTTATTTGCTGTTGTCAGAGGGCTAAAACGATTCCATATAAGGAAATTTCCATAATTCCCGAAACTATATTTTAGCATAAAATATTATCATTTTGTACTGTTTTGATGGAATTATCACTAACATTCTCGCTTGCATGTATGAAAGGTATCTCAACTGGAACATGTCCCAAAGTGGCCCAACCTGGTGCTCCTGCCATCTTCCTTTCAGCAAAGGGTAACTCCGTTTGTCCACTGGTGCCAGCAAGCCGCCTTGGCATCACTCTTGACTGCTCACTTGATCTCTCTCTCTCTCCCTCTCCTCACATCTGAACCAACAGGAAATCCGGTCAGCTCTACCTTTACCTGAATCTGATCAGTTTTATACCTTCGCTGCTACTGCCCAGGGCCGAGCCTCTATCATCTCTCGTCTACATTCCTGCAATCCCCCTTAAACGAGTCTCCCGACATCCTTCTTTGCCCCAGTTCAGTCTGTTCTCAGCACTAGCAGTCAGAGAGGTCCTGTTCAATGTGAGTCAGATCGTGTCACTGCGAACGCGGCGCGCCCCCTCACTCACGAAGGGTGAAAGGAGGACAGGCTCACCTCTGCAGCTTCTTCCCTGACCTCACCGCCTCTTTCTCCTCCTCCCTGAGCATCATTTCCAGCCACACTAGCCTCCTTGTTGTTCCTCCAAGAAGCCCAGCTCCCTCCCGTCTTTTTAGAGCCCTTTTCCAATTTATTTCTGGGTGCAGAGCTATGCCGCCAAGGGCAAAGTCAGCTGAAATGTGACTCTCAGATAAAGTCAGGTCCTTTAAAGCGAGCACCTTAGGATCTCGACCCATTGGAAATGAATGGACTAGTGCCTACAATGGTGGGGTACGGTTGCTCTATAAAGGTTTAACATTATTTAAAGATAAAGAAGAAGAGGGGGAAAACATTAAACAGAATTAGAAGATTCTTAAATTATGCTTTTCAAGTTTCTTGATCCCAGGGTACAGACTGGTCTTAAGAAACCCAAGGGACAATTTACATTTATTATGATTAACAGCAGTTCACATTTACTACCCAATTGAAATATTGATACGTCTCTAGAACATCAAAAAAAGAGAGTATTTGAGATTGTTCCTGGAATATAGGTCAACTCAAGGTGTGCAAACATCATATTGACATTTATTTCAAAATATAAAATTCTAAAGAAACTCTCCTTTATCTGAAGTATCAACCTGGTAAAATATGTCATCATTTATGCTACAGTGCTGTAAAAAAACCTGTAAAACCTAGAAATGATTATTAGACAACTAGGATTGATCTGAAGCCTAGTTTTAACCTAAGAAAAATTCAGGCTACAGCCCAAGTATTCCTATTCAGTATAATACTTGACAATATTATAAAACTGTTTTACCACAATGTGTATTTAATTACTATAGAATGCGATATTCTATAAATCCCTTCAATGAAAAGTTAGGGAAAAGTTAGGAAACTATATTATTTTAATGGTGCCTAGACATATAGCAAGATACTTAAATTGCTCGTTTGAATACTTTATAACTTTGAAGAGTAATTCTATGTCCACTACCCTTTAGAGAGTAAATATAATGGTGGCAGCAGTGGATTTCAAACGTGGGTTTCAGTTGTCTATAAAACATCGAGCTGGATAGCTTACCTTTTCCAGCGTCAGCTCTGTCTCGGCAGCGTGAGTCTTTTTCAGCTCTATTTTCATCTTTTCTGATTCAGCCCTCAGTTTGCTGACAGCTGTCTCGTGGTCTCTTGCAGCCCTTTGCTTCTCCTCTTCACGAAGAAGACCAAGCTCCACCAGCTGCTGCTTCCTTTGTGAATTCACATTAATCAGCTCCTCTCTCAGCTTGTGAACTTGGGCCTCCATGTCAGCAACAACCTTGTTTTGAAAAATGGAAAAATGGGCAGAGGCTATGAATAGGAAAGGCGTAAAAGGATTGCGAAAGACTAACAAACATGCAAAAATGTCCACTTTCTTCCTTCCTTCTCTCATTCTCCAATCCCATGCCATTTGCATCCTAGTTCAGATATAAATACTGCCTAGAACATTTTACCATACACAACATAGTTTTACTTGTTTCAAATATCTATGTAAATGAAATGTTACATGTATTATTCTGCAACTTGCTTTTTCAAATATTCAACATTAGGTTCCTGGGATTCATCTAGTACTTACTATTGTATTTTCGTTTTTATTTCATTGATTTCTGCTCTGATTTTTATGGCTTTCATTCTACATTCTTGGGTTTTTCACATCCCTTCTTTTAATTTCTTATTTTGGATACTTAGCTCATTTATTTTTATCCTTTCTTCCTTTCTGATTTATAAACTGGAGACTATAAATACCCCTCTAACTATTGCTTAAGTTTAATCTCTTAGGTTTAGACATATGGTATTTTCATTATTGTTTAGTTAAAAACAGTTTTTAAACTTCCATTATTATTTTTTCTTTGACTTATGAATCATTTAGAAGTACAGTAATACCTTGGTTTGCAAGCATAATTCATTCCGGAAACAAACTACTCATATTGCAAGACATCGCTCGTTTACCAAGCTAAAATGTATTAGAAATGTTTGCTTGTCTTGCAGAACACTTGCAAACCACGTTACTCGCAATCCAAGGTTTTACTGTATGCCTTTTTATTCCCAAACATATGGGAGTATATTAGTTTTCTAGGGTTACCATAACAAAGTACCACAACTGGTGGCTTATGACAACATTCATTCATTCATTCATTCTCCCACAGTTCCAAAGCTACAGTCTGAAATCAAGGCGTCGGCATGGTTGGTCCCTCTGGAGGTTCTGAGGGAGCATCTGTTCTGTGCATTTGCTGGCAATCCCTGGCATTCCTTGGTGTACAGATGCATCACTCCAATCTCTGCCTCCATTTTTAAGTGACTTTCTTTGTGTGTCTGTGTCCAAATTTCTCTCTTCTTATAAGAACACACTGGTCATCTTATATTCAGGGATCACCCTAATCCAGCATGACCTTTATTTTAACTTGATTACATCTACAAGAACCCTTCTTCCAAATAAGGTCACATTCACAAGTTCTGAGTGGATATGAAATTTTGGGGGAGGGGCACCAATTTAGGACATGGATCCTCAAGCATCCTCAAGTTTTATTAACAGATACCTATCTTATAAATAGCATATATATTTTGAATTCTCTTTTAAAAATCTAACCAATTTTTGTCTTTCAAATGTAGCATTTAGTCCAATTTAGTCAATTAGTGTGTATATGTGCTAACATATTTAACATTATTTTTCCCTTATTTTGTGCTACCTGCTCTATCTTTTGTATATTTTGTTTTTCTTTCATTTTTGCCTTTTTTTATTCTAAAGAAGTATATATTTTTTTCTTCTTCAACTTTATTCTCCTGCCTGGTTTAGAAGTGATACACTGTATTTTCTTTTATTGTTAACAGTATTTAAAAAACTTTTAATCTAGCCTTTTTAGCTATTTTCTGAGGGAAAGCTGATCAGGAATCTAGTCTGTCGTGCTACCAGATAAATAGTCAGTTCAGGCTAAGGAAACCTAGAATTAGGATTAGGATTAGGATTAGGATTATTGTCGATGCATTAGTTATGAATACAACATTTTCTGAAACATGAAAACTGTTTTTGCATGATATACTTTCAACAAGCACTGCATAGACCAATATTTCCCTAACTGGAAGCCAGAAAATCCAAAAATAATAGTAATGGCAAAGTTACAACAAAAATGCAAAATTTAATGATGAGCAGTTGCTTTAATAATCAAAATACCTACAATAAGAGATCACCTCATTTTCAGTAAAAATCCTGTACTTGTTCTATTTTAAACATTAACAATTTTTACATGATAAACAATTGGTATCATTTTGAGTATTTACTTTGCACAAGGCATCTTATGTAGATTACTTTATATAATCTTTGCAACAACTCAATATGATAGATATTATTAATATACAAAGCATTCCCTTATTTTGAATTGTGGTTGGTACACCCTAGTTCAAGTATTGACCCTGCTCTCTATATATACTAGATTGGAAGAGACGTGAATTACAGATGACTGGTCAAACACATTTATGTTGGAGGAGAAGAGAAAAAAGGGCTTGATAATAATGAATATGAGCCCTGGGGACTCGAGGTGCTAGGGTGCTCCATTTTTATCCTGCCTTTTTGTAAATGCTGATTTAAAATAGATAGTCACAAGGGGAATATGCAAGAAGACTTTATATAAAAGGCTTATTCTCAAAAACCTGTAGTGAAAAAGATTAATAGATGTATTGGTATCTGTAGACTGAATACAGCTGTAAACCAAATTCTGCAAACCAAGTCTCTTGCCTTCTACTCCTTGTTTTATGATTCCTTCCCTTTGAACTCAATACTTGGGCATAAGAGAAGAGATGGTCAGTTTAATCATGTTCTGAAATAGATGAGAAATGTTCTAACAGTAGATAGACTTAAGGCAGTGACAAGTTATGTTTCTAGAGATCAAAATATTCTTTTCTTTTCTTTATTTATTTTTAAGTTTTGATTACATTTATTGTGGTGACATTGGTTAGTAAAATTATACAGGTTTCAAGTATAAATTTCTATAATACATCATCTATATGTATATATTGCATTGTGGGATCTTTTAGAAAACACTCGGTGATAACAAGATGGGCTGCTGACTTTGTTTCTCAAAATCAACCATGGAGAAACCACAGGAAGCATGAAACTGGGGTATTAATAATGACAATGACAACAGTAAAAATGATAACAAAAACAAACTCCGACAAACTCCTGGGGAGAAAGAACAAAAACTGGCCTGAATGGAGACTATATGTGTGTCGAGGGAAGGAGCCGCAGCCTGCGAGAACAGCAGGAAACTGCTGTAAGAAGGGCAGTTGGAAGGATGCTTTCCTTTTAGCTCTTGCCTCTTTCTTTTGTTGGCAGAGGACAATCTCACCTGTCCCACTGCCATGTTAGGACCAAGAACCCAACATGGTATGACTATGAGTTGGGTCATGCCAAGGCAAGCAAACACCTTGCTGGGATGAGGAGCTGAGAAAAACAAGGGCAGGTTTATCAGAATTTGGGCCTTCACTCTTCCAGACTCTCCCCTCCCACTCTTTAATTTATAACTATGTATAATTCACTATTTATTAGGATCTATGATGTGGAAGCTACCATGATGAGTGACTCTCAGAAAACATTTCCTTAAGAGAGTTTAGACAATAAAACATAAGCTATTATATATGTGTATACACACACACACACACACACACACACACACACACACACACAAACACGCGCGCGCCATAAGAGAAGACAAAACGCCATAAGAGTTCAGGAGAAGGAGCAGTTACTTTGAGCTAGGAAGGATTCTGGAAAACTGAATAAAACAGAATATATCTGAGATGGACCTTAGCAGATAAATTGGTACCATTTGAGGACAGGGAAAAACATATAGGACATTTCAGGCAGAAAGAATGAGCCACATGGAAGAAGAAAAACAGCACTGAAGAGGAATAAGGGAAATTCAGAAAAGAGAGACGTGGTGCCGATATTGAAAGATTCTGAATGTGGAGCTACAGGGTTTGGATTTCAAGTCACTGGAGAACCAGTGAAAATACCTACATTGGCTGCTGGGGGATAGTGAGCTAACTAATACCACTGGGTTTTATACTAAGAAAGAGTAATCTGGAGGCTCTCATGAGATGAAATTACTAGATCCTGTATAACATACAATTTTTTCTCTTTCTTTGCTCATAGGAAGAGAAACATCCAAAGGGAAAAACAAAACTCATACACCTAAAACTGCACATGCTAAAAACAAGATAATGAGCAATAAGGACACACTCAAAAGGCAAGGCATCTTTGGAGAAAATGTCCTTATCAGCCTTGCAACTTCAGGTGAAAGGAATCCGAGAGCTGAACATGATACCGTGGAGTAAGTCAGACAGCCTGGAATAGGACTACAGTTGTTGCATGGCAGTAGTGTGATCAACTCCCACCTGAAGCTAAAACAAATTCCCTGTGGAGAAAAGCTTTTTCAGTTCAGTGTCTCCAAGTTTTCTATAAATTAAGATAAACCAAAAATGAGCTCATATTAAAAAATTACAAAGTCCAGGGCCAGCCGAGTGGCGCGTTGGTTAAGAGCTGGCTTGGGATGCCAGGGAGCCCCGGTTCGGATCCCACATATGAGGGCCAGTGACACTGCCCTCTACAGCTAAGATGCTGAACAACAGCTCGACCTGGAGCTGGGCTGCCCTTGAGTTGCCGGCGAGGGCAGGTGGGTTGCCAAGGGCTACCGTGTGTAGCCAGCAGCCGGCGTGAGCGGCCAGCAGCCGCTGTGAGCGGCCGTCCAGAAGCCGGCGATTAATCTGCCTCGCCTGGGAAGAGCGCAATGATGGTGCCAACTTGGGCCAGTGAAGCAACGTCCTCCACAAATAGACTGAAGAACAAAAGGACAGCAACTTGTGTTTCCCTTACCCCAATTCCCCAATAAAAATCTTAAAAAAAAAAGAACATTCTAAAAAAAAAAAGAAATTACAAAGTCCAGAAGAAAACCACCACTGGTAAGATTCAACACAGACTCCCACTCGCTAGCACTTCAGATATAGGAATTATCAGAAAAAGAACATAAAATAAACATGTATTATTAAATATTTAAAGAAACAAAAGGTGGAATTATGAAATGAATAAACCAGTAGAAATTAAGCAAAAATTACAAGATTTAAGAAAGAATAATTTCCAACAATAAAATTTTTGTATAAAAGATAAAATAAATTAGTTAAGTCTAAACAGCAGAAGCAAGAAGTGGTGAAACAGAACAGATATTAATAAATTACCCATGATGCAGCAGAGTAATATCAGAGGATAAAAACTATAAGTGAGATATTTAA